GAAGAGTCAGTTTCTGTCACCTGCAACCAAGAACCCTGGCTGGTGCCTGGGGTGAGCTTTGAAATTAAACACGGGAGGTTTGATCTCAGCCCTGGTAGTAGCTTTGTGGCCTTGAACAAGATACTTAAGCATTCCGAGCCCCAGTTTCTCTCATTTTGTAAAATAAGAATAATAATATGTACGTTACAGGGTTGTTGTTAGCATCCAATGAAATGATAAGTTTAAAATATCCTCAATAATACCTGCATTTTTGTAAGATCTCGATAAAGGGGTTATTCCTCTACGCAGGGCCCTCACGCAGGGCGGGTTTCCATAGCAGAGTGGTCATCGTGCTGGCCTCGCAGAATGCTCTCGTCTGCGCGATCTCAGGTGACCTTCACGACAAGGGAGGCCAGAGATCCTCATTCTGAAGATTTGGAAATCGAGGTTCGGAGAGGCAAAGTGACACCCGTGGGCCCACACAAGGGGTGGAGAAGCCTGGGGTTGAAATCCAGGTTTTCTGATTCGTGGTCCCGTCTCCCAGAGCCCTGGCTGGGAGCAGCGACCCGTGAGAGTTTCACTGAGTGTCCATGGAAACCCTCAGGGAAGGGTAATCTGGGGGAAGGAGTTTGGAACCTACGACCAGCAAGATGTCTTTTAATCCTACAATGATGCTGGAGAGGAGGAGGGTGAGGACCGCCAGGCGTGCGCCCAAGCGAGAGGAGAAGCCACACAAACAGAGGTGTGGAGCAGCGGACGGAGAAGAGAACCGGTGTCTTTCAAGCACCCAAGAAGAAGGAAGAGCGTGGGGCTGACTGACAGCCCCGGCCGGTGCAGAGAGGTCGGAGAGAGTGAGGACGAGAACAGGCCATCGGATGTGGCTACAGAGAAGCCACCACCGCAGCACTGCCCAATCTACCTGCCCGTACTTACGCGTAGCACCAAACGGAAATATTGCACGGCATTCGTTTCCTTTACAAAAGTAGACATACATAAATAGGATAACATTAATGATGCCTTTCGTTAAATATGCTATATTGTGCTTTGCACTAATTACCATTAATCCTCTAAATGGTAATGTTCCCAGAAATGGAAGAACACAGTAATAATAATTTCTAGAATCACCCCATAAAGATGAAGGGAATTGCTGATTTTCAGAACATTTCTATTGATCACTGGAAAAAATGAGTGGCTTTTCTGATACATGTAAGAGCACAATTAAAACACACACAAAAAATCCAGTGATACAAGTAATATAAAGCTATTTCCTAATATTAAGAACAGGAAGTGGATGATACCGGTGAGTGGCTCAGATTTCTTTTGCAAGGCTCAGGAGTAGAAAGAGCTCTGTGCCCGGTGGGTTCACTCAGCTCTAAGTCACAAGTTAATGCTGAGCACGTTGTCTGAAATTAACTTTGGAGATCAATCAACACAGGCAAGAGAATATGAAAAAACCT